CACCACCACCACCACCACGACCACCACCACCACCACCACCACCACCACCACCACCAACAACAACAACAACAACAACAACATCAACCACCAGCACCACCTCCTCCTCTTTCCACCCCCCCACCTTCCTCCGCGCGATCGCACGCACGTGTTCCCATCTCTCGCTTTGTCGCGCGATGCCCTTTAGAAGCTAAATGCCGACAGACTCTCTCTCTCTCTCTGCCACTTTCATCGGCCCTCACCGCACATTCCCGTAGCCGTAACCATCAGTAATTAGGGTCGTGTATATGCACGACAAAGGTGAGCGCGATTCGGCGCGAGGCCGCGCGTGTGTGTGAAATCACACATAACGCCCAGCTTCAGTACGAAGCCGATTATCGCTATATATAAGAGAGAGAGCGAGAGAGCTCGCAGCATCGGAGCGGAATTAGCAGCAGCCGATAATCACGGAATTGTGAAGCCATTTAGGCCACGCATCGCAGGTGTACAAAGCAGCAGAGGAGGGGGAGGGGCAGCAGGGCGGGGGGAGGGGGAGGCGTGTGCGTATACATACGTACATACGCGAGTCCCCCCCCCCACCGCCGCCGCTTGTGGAGTGAACGGACGAACGCGTTTGAGCGAATCACACGCCGAATGAGTTTTAGAAGTTTGCCGCGCGCGCTTGCGGACATAAGGTAGGGTGGTTTATTGAGAAACGGGGGGAGGGGGAGGCTCCGGGCATCTTCTGCTTACGTAAACAGAAGGCGGGGTAATTTACTAACGGGGAGGAGGTGGCAAGGTGGAGGGGGAGGCACGAAGACATTCGCATGATCGTGAATGGGAAAAAAAGTGTTGCTTCGTTGCTTAATTGTTATCTGATATAGAATGAAATGTTTTATTAGTTTTAATAACAATCTGTAGCACTGAGTTATTATGAAGTGAGGTGTGGTTCGAATCTGATGACTCAATATGAGTTGTAAGTTAGAACAAGGAAACTCAGCAAACGAAACGAATTACTAGCGCAATCAAAACCATGCACGTCGAGATCATAATTATGAGTAAATAGGGTAAATAAATATAAAAAAACAAGCAAATAAAAGAATAAATAATTAATTAAACAACTAAATAAACAAACAACTACATAAAAAAATAAAAAAATAAACAATAAACACATAATTAATTAATTTAATTATTTAACTAACTAACTAACTAATTAACTAACTAGCTAACTAGCTAACTAGCTAACTAGCAAACTAACTAACCAATATATAGTAAATAAGATATGCGGGCCCCTCGGCAGACTGACTACTCGCTAATTCACGTTATCTCCTAAACTTGTTGAATGTATATTCTTCTAGTCTTTGCGAAACCAATGCTGCGAAACCAATGCATTGTTACCTTCGCGGGAAAGCGCAAAAGAAAGTCGGCGTCAACAGTCGTAGATGATTCTAACATTTTAACGAGAAACTAACGGGAACAGCGGCGTGCAAAAAAAAGAGTGAATGCCCACGATGAGTGTTTGTCTAAAGATTCGGAATCGCACGGTAAGAACACTGAAGCACCTCAACGTCTTACAGGTAATGAGAAAAATCTTCTTTAAAGTGTTTTTTTCTCAAGGTATCGGCAATTTTTATTGTTCCCCCGCTAGCAAAGGGCTGTATATATCCATGGAGATTCTCCGTGTCACGCTTACCTTTGAATAAGGGACATACCTTGTCCCACACCGATATGCATCCACATCGGTGTCTCTGGCCCAGCGCCAGCTCGAGGTAGAAGAGTGGTAGCCCTCCAACCAGGTACATAATCATGTACGGAATGAAGAATGCACCTGTGGAAAAAGAGGCAGTCTGTTACAGGAAGAAGTGCGTTGGGTGTGACTCTCTTTTACTGATAGCATATAGTTGTCATGGCCGCCGTTTGTTGTTATGTAACTTTTAAGTCGGATTATTAGATTTTAAGATGGAAAAGTTATTATTCTAGTTATTATTATTGCTGTTGTTTTTATTAGTGTTGCTGCTGTTGTTGTTGTTGCTGCTGCTGTTATTGTTGATGTTGCTAGTTTCTTGTTGTTGCTGTTGTTATTGCTGCTGCTGTTGCTGTTGCTGCTATAGAATTTTGTTATATATTTGTACTTATTTATTATTTTATTTTTATATTTATAAATTTTATTTCATTAACAAGTCTCTCTATCCCCGTCTCTCCATCCCCCACTCTGCTTCTCTCTAGTATAGCGTCTTTCCTTCTCTCCCAATCCTATACACGCGCGCGACTCTCTCTCTCTCTCACTCTTTCTGTGTCTCCCTCACCCTATACACTGCTCGCCGCTTCCCTCTCGTGATCAGAACGCTGAAAATCTGGTAGAATCGTGTGCAACGAAGAGTTGCATCATAAATAAACGTGCGGCCACGTGGTGGTTGATATATCCGGGATAGCCGAGACAGAGTCGTCAGCGACAGACATAGACGCACGTACACAGCGAGAGCGAGTGTTGTTACCGCGTCCGCCGGAATGGCTTCCTGGTTTCCTCGGAGGGAAAATGATGCGATATATACAACGCTAATGACCTGTCACCACGCATGACGCTTCGCGTACTCCATTCTCCCGGCTATAAGAAATCACATCTACATACTGCGTGTGAATAGTGCGTCGCGTCTATGCATGGCCGAGCTGATTTCACCAGCTATCGTTGATGCTGGGGCGTGGCGTGTTGGGTGGATAGGCCGGGAGTGAAGAGAGAGAGAGAGAGAAAGAGAGAGAGAGAGAAAGAGAGAGAGAGAGAGAGAGA